GGAAAGCTCATGTCAAAAAGAAACGCGACGAGCTAGATCTACGCTACAAGTCAATGTACTGGCTGATAGGAAAAAATTCTTCGCTGTCAGTGCACAACAAAGTTCTTTTATATAAACAAGTCCTCATGCCTGTATGGACTTATGGTATTCAGCTTTGGGGCTGTACCAAACAAAGCAATATCGAAATTATACAGCGTTTTCAAAACAAAGTACTCAGAGGAATCGTCAATGCGCCCTGGTACATTCGAAATGACGACCTTCATCGGGACCTCAAAGTAGACCTCGTCGTAGATATAATTAAAAAGTGTGCAGAAGCCCATGAACGAAGGCTTCACCACCATGTGAACATCGAGGCTATCCAGCTCCTCGACAACACGGACATAGTGAGAAGGCTAAAAAGGACAAAACCTTTTGAGTTAACATAGTGAAGTGTTAGTGTAAAGTAGTGAGTGCTACCGGAACAGAACACAATAACAAAGTGTCTTCCCCTTAATAGAGACAATAAGAAAAGTGTTAATGGACACATTCTTAGTTATACTTTCCTAGCAAATTAAGACAAAATTGAATTACTTATTAGCATTAAAGCTAGATTGTAATTTTTATGACGTTGCCGTATGAGGTCACGTCATATAAACAAAAAAAAAAAAAAAAAAAAACTAATTCCTTGCGGTGCAGTCTTTTTAACAGGTCCAGGCAAGCCAGACTTTTCAACTTTAGTTTTCAAAAACTGTAGCTCAGTATAATCTGACTCCGCAAAAGATTTTCTTATATATAACTTAGTAGAGCCGCGCTTAACTTGCACCTCCACGATATCACGCACGTAAATTCTGTTTTGGGTGTTTTTAAGTCTATGAGCCGATGAACAGTCTTCAAAATCGTAAAAATCTTCAAAAGACATTTGGTTTTACTACAACTTTGCCAGATCGTACAGATTGCACAGTTTTGTGGAAATCATCAAAATCGTAAATTTTTGGATTACGTTTCATGGCCAGTTCAACCTGATGGTGAAAACTATCTGCTGACATGAAAGTATGCCCCGGTTCAAAATATTTGAATGTTATTGTATTCGCGACTATTTCATTATGTAAGTTAAAAAACTAAAAAGTGACCAACATTTATTTTGGGATGCACAGTATCGGCCCACAACGTGACATTTTCTATGTCTCTCTTATTCTGATATTTCCTATGTCTCTCTTATTCTTAAAAAACTGATAAAAGGTGCTTGTTATATCTTCTTTTCTACGTCCAGATATAGCCTCATGCCATATAACAGCCATTGTTTGTATATTGGATGCAGGAGTTCCAATCGGTACGAAACTCTCATTAAAAATAATTAGACGTGGACAGAAAATTACACATTTAAAAGTTTCCATTCTTGGGTGAAAGGTTAGCTTATAACACAGTAACTCAACGGTTACTGTGTTCTAACCAAGTAATTCAAACTATGATATCGAAACTGCAGGCATTAAAACACAGTATGTAATATACTGTGTTTAATTCATGTATCATGTAAAATAATTACGTATTTATTTTAGTTTATACCACAGTATTCAAAGTTACTGTGTTATAAGCATAATATAGTATAAACCTAAAAATATGTATCATAAATTAAAAAACAGTAAAGTCACTTTTTTACGTTAAAACACAGTACATGGCAATTTACTGTGTTTAGCTCTAAAATATCTTGATATTATTTAAAATTTCGTAAAGTTACTGTGAAGGATCTCGGCAACGGTAGGGGCTACAGATATACCGAAAATTTCCCCAGATAGAGCTCGCGCCGTAGATTACTATTCTTTATCCAAAGCAAAAACACAGTAAGTCAAGTTACTGTGTTTTCATTTACGACGGCAGTACTCGAAGAGTAAAGTAATTAGGTGGCCGGTAAAAAGCTTTGCCATGTTCCAGCGCGAGTTTTTATTCAATTTTCGATGGCCAATATTCAGCTCGTCATGAGTTTTATATAAAAAGCCAGGTAAATTAATTGTCGATAGAAAAATTTTGTAGTAGCGTAGTTTAAAAGTTATTCTGGGAATATGTGTACACGTTTTTATGGTAGAGTGGTCCTGTAATAACACTTTAAACGTTTTTATACTGTTTGTTTTTATATTTTTATTTAAGTTTAATGGTGTTGTGACGACAATGTTATTTTCTTATTGTTAGTGTAATTTTCCAGATGCTGAATATAAGACTCCCGATTTATTTCTTAGGTTGATCTCAATAATTACGTCTGTTATTCGTATTTTCAGTACATAATTTTATTATACTAAACTAGCTTTTGGCAGCGGATTCGCCCGCGTTTCAGTAGAATAAAACGTACTCTATGTGTTATTCCACACTATAAACTACCTCTGTTCCAAATTTAATCCCGATCGTTTCAGCCGTTTTGAGGTAAAGAAGAAACAAACAAAAAAACAAGAAAACATACAAACTTTGACATTTATAAGATAAGTACGATTTTCTTTAAATCGAAATCAATAGAGAAGCTACAATTAATTTGTGTAGTCAGCAAAACATTTGCATATTATTGTTGTTTTATAATTACAAAGTAATGAGAATAAATAAATTTGTGGCGACACATGTTACATGTCAAATGACAGTTCACGCACATAGATGAAAACCAAACCAAAGGCTGACGTCACAAGAATCCTACATCGCACATGCAAAGTTTACATGCGAATTAACACGGATAGAAAATCCCAACGAGCAACTGTTGGGCAGAACGCCCGCCAGGCACGATCACCTCGCCTGGTCGGAGGATCCTCCTTTTCCGATCTTAGGGAACTATACTCTCTGGTCCCTAAAAATTCATTAATTATTGGTACTTCACTGAAATGTCTTTTTATTTACAGTTTGGTTTATTTGAAGTAAAATATTGAAACAACGGCTACACATCGCGCTTTACATAGTAGTGTAAACTGTATAAACTGAACGTTAAATGTGCGGAAAGATGATGCGGCGTGACACCAGGATAAACTGGTTTTGTATAGATTGATGTGTGGCCGTGTGTACTAACTCGTGATTAAAATAAATGTATTAATATAATGCAAACCACACAAAATGTGAGTCGGTTAAATAAAATTTAATTACAGAGGAATTAAATAAATAAAAAGTAATTATTGTATACGTAAGTAAGTAGTTACTTACTGAATTTATACATGAATGTGAGCTGGAATTTTATAGTACCAGGCAAATATATTGCACATATGGATTGCGATTTTCAAAAAGAGATTATTTTGTGTGATAGTACCACTAATGACTGCCACGCTGGCCGAGTGGTCGCAAGTGCGACTGCCGGGCAAGGGTCTCGGGTTCGATTTCCGTGTCGGGCAAAGAATTACTGAGTTTAAAACAAATCTCAGTAGTAACACGGAGTTTAGAATTGTACCCGGTATATGGCAATAGGCTCACTTCCTATTTCATGGGACTCATTACATAAAATAGTGAAAAGTGAGTGTTACATGGTACAGTGGCATAATCTGCACCTCTGCCTACCCTTCGGGGATAAAAAGGCGTGATGTTATGATTCTAATGATTGCAATCACTATTCGGCCAACACAGTATTTTTAGTGCATCGTTGTTCGTTCGGAGTCTAAGCCAAGAGTGCCTGCTGTCGTGCGATGGTGCAAGTCACTCAATCTTACAACATCGTACGACAGCAGGCACTAACCCTCATTCTTAGGTGGATATGACGTCACAATTAACTGTTGAAGCGCGCCATCTTTATTAATTTTGTTGTTATTCCTTCGTTTTGTAGTAAATCGAAATCCCGTACTAATGACCGTGAAGGTATAATACTTGCATGAATAAATTATACATGTAATTATTTATTAAATTAAATCTTTACTATTGCTCGTTTTTGGTTGTAATTTGTTTAATTAATAAATACTTTTGTAATTGTTTCAGTTTTTGGCTGAAAATAGTGGAAAGTAATTTTGTATTTTAATTAAATGGATTCTTGGTAATTTGTGCTTTTGTGTTGTATTTCATTTTATTTTAAAACGTTTGTGTATGTGGTCTTACTTTGACGTGCTTAATTGCAAATTGTAGTTGCGCATATATTTATTTATTAATGTAGTAATTTTCAGGTATATTTTATGTATTTACTACATTAATTAAAACAAACCAAAGAAGACGCTTTCTGTCAGGTAATGTAAAATGTAACGCTGACTAAATTATTTTCTCATCAAGATGTTATAATGAGAAATTTTATGCTCTATATATTAATATATTCGGTGCCGGTAACATCCGACCTCAATAAACCCCCACTTGCCATTATAATGACTCTTAAGGTTATCCCCGATAATTCCTCCCTATTATGTTACACTTCCCTTCGCAATTTTCGTCAGTGGGTAATCGCCACGTTATCAACATCGAACTGATCGGAATCGTCAATTTGTCCGTAGATAGGTATGAATCGATAAAACCGGAAATTACCTTCAACCGGTGCGGAAATTCTATCCAATAAAATTTTCTTCGTGAACCATTCATAAATTCTCTATAATTGAATCGAACGTCAGCTTCACCCTCTCAGTTGCAATATCATAAGCCTATGACTTTGCTTCATTTGGATTTATGGCCGCGCTCCTCCTGGATACAAATACGATCCCTTTTTGTTAATTAGAGGGACCGCAGTCAGCTGGGCGGGCTCTAACTCGGCAATCCATTAACTTGCTACTTGTCAGTCTGAATGAGGAGCGAGAGGTGACGACACGTTATGCACATTAACTTGATTGGAATTATAATTGGCATTTTCGTAACTTTGTCACTCACAAACTTATATTGCCTACGTGTAATTAAGTTTTCCGTTACCAAGCACTCGTATTATACCCAATTTCGACAGTAGATTAAATATGAATTTGCAGCGCCATAATGAGCACCTACGTACGACAGAAAACAGAAAAACCTCATAAATTGTCGCACACAATACACACGTATTGGCACATGAAAGTAATTTATCGACTCTCTTGGTAAATGGATGATTAATGAATCAAATTTACCTTGCTATCGTTGCTGTGAATGTATAATTTGAAGCCGGACAATAAATCAAGGCGCTCGTTGACATCCGCGAGCGCGAGCTCGGCGGCTGGCTTGCAGGCCTGCCCGCCCTGCCACCCGCCTTCGCCTTCCATGGGGAAAATACCCCCAATATGGAGGTCCCCGTCGCGCCTGCCCTCGCTGTACCCGCCGCCGCCGCACCCGCTCAGCCACAGCACCAGCAGCGTCCGCGCCCGTCGCGCGCCGCCGCCTCGACATCTCCATCGCAACACAACACACTTGGCAACAACGAATAATTGCACTATTGTCTTCACTAACAATGCTTTAATATCACAATACACTGTTCTAGTTCGAAAACTAAACATATTATCCACATCAGTTTTTAATTTGACTAGCGGACGCTTTGAAAAATTAAAGTTCACTCGCACCCGCGGCAGGGAGGCGGCGACGTTTTGATATAAACGTGATATCACCCGTAGATATTGTAGACATAGCCTAATAAGCGTTAAATTTTCTATAAAATATGGCATCGAGTGTGCACGGGGGCCCGGGCTGGCGCGCCCCGCCGCCGCGGCCACTGCGCGACCCTTGGCGCCCTGCAGGGTCATCGCTCGCGGCGGGGACATGCTGTCATTGTTCACCTCTCTCCGCATTTTCCATGCTCTCTCCTGTAACAAATAAAAATGCTCTCGTTTTCATCTGAATTGTTACTCTGCGAGCTTTGCTGAAGCTCGTTATTTGTAAATACTCTTGGAGGATAATTTGCGTTCCGTTCTCCCGACTATAAAATTAAAATGAATACAATGAAGTGTACGTAGGTAGTTTTGTGACTTGTGAGTTTAAACATATTTAGTGTTTGCAAATACAGACTAATGTTTAAAAATATTTCAAGATGCCTGATGATTTCTCGACGACGTCGATGCATCTCGAGACCAGAGGGCTGATCTGTTTCTCGGTCAGAGGTTAAGCATTGCCATACAACGTGGCAATGCTGCCAGCCTTCTACTTTCCCAATTGACGTAGATGCGGACGAATTTTTTAATGCTCTGTGTAAATAGTAATTTATAGTTTTCTTTTATTTTATTTTTTTCATTAGTTTCAATGTCTCTTAAATAGTAATAGTTAGTATTTATTTTATTTAAGTTTATATTATTTGAAATAAAAGCTCTTCTTTCTCTTTTTGTTTCGTAGAAACAGTTAAGTCGTAAGAATCAATCGAAAACCTTTTTAAAAATTTAATATTTTCCTTCTAAAAATCTGTAACATGTCAACTGTCACACAACTAGTAGATAAATGTGCAGCTCAGGAAATGCTTCAACCAATTTGGTAAATGAGTTGTTAAAATCGCATTCGGGAGCGTGTCATTGCGATTAATTCAACAGACCGCTGGCAGCTAATTTGGTTGTAGAAATGTTCTAAATTCTATCCAATTGCGCATTAAAAACCTTACAAACTGGACTAAATGAACGAATTTGTGGTAGTATTTTATTTACTTAATTCTGTTTAGGCGGATAAATAGAGAGCAGAGAAAACAAAATAATTTTCTAAATCTAATCATACTGTATTCTTTCATGTTTAAAAATAGCATTTTGTAAAATATAAGTCCTCGCAGTACCTATAAAACCGCGAAATCACAAAAAATATCGCATATCCACCTAAATCTAACCATCTATACATCTTCACAACTAAACCTCTATCCTACTGATATTGGATCCCTCATCTCCACCAAATTGTATAAGTTGAACATTTATTCATATCTCTATTGTACAAATGTAGCTGTTCATAGATATGAGAGTGATGCTGGCAATAACGCGAGTTTCAGTTTAATATTGACGTCTGGCGCGGCTTTAGTACCATTTAGTCGATAGCTACAGATCACAATGCCAGACTTCGGCTCTGATGCTTTGAAAGAGTTGCCATTCTCTCGAAATGTTCGAGTAGCGTCACTTTTACCCCTTGCTATATAAAATATCGATATATGTGTGCTATTGATGCATTGGGGATAGGTAATACTAGTAAATCGATTGATTGTTTTATGTTGTAAATTCAACCTTCATTAAAGGAAAAACACACCTGAAACACACTGGCAAAAGATGAAGAGAAAGATAGAATTTGTTGATGTAAGAATTTTCAATTACAATATTTATTTTGTACTATAGTGGTGCTCACTAACTGTACACACTCACTCCCAGTGAACTACAACATGGGGTTCTTTAAGAGAGGAGTGAATAGGTTTCTTAAGGGTCAGCAAGACGCATGTAATGCCCCAAGTGTTGCAAGCGTACATAGGTCACGGTAACCGTTTACCATCAGGTGTGCCGTGTGCTTTTTTGCCACCGTCGTGGTATATAAAAAAAAATCAAAAGATAATCTGACATTGTGCTTCGTTGAACGCTTGATTAGGATCTAGCGAATTAATCTAAAATATAATTAGCTATAAGTCTGTTGTAAGTCAATCACTTCGTAGGTAGGTATAAGCAGTTTTCTTTCAGGCCTCATTTCAAGAATATCTTTCCCAGAATACGTAGGCTGTTAGTTGCATGACTTCGAACAGTTATCCATAACGTTCGGTAAGACATTCGAAGCCGGGATTAATCAATAAGAATTTCTGCTTGCGGATACAATAAGCCTGATAACAATCGACTCGCTGTAATCGCACCGCAATGAAATGAGAAGTTAATGATTCGTCGCTTATTCCTTATTCCTTTGTAATAGGGGTGATAATCAATGAGAGGAAATGGTGTTCAATTAAAATGACGATTTTCTCAAAGCACGAGACTTAATTAAACGTCGTCTGTTATTTATCAACCTTCTTACTGACTACTGGCTAGTAATTAAATTTATTTCCATGAAATCGATTTCTACTGTTGATTTTGTTCTAGATGTTCTCGTGAAGATGTTTAACTTTATTGTATTTTCATTTTATTCGAGACTAGCTGTTGCCCTCGACTTCGTTCGCGTGGAATTATGATTCACAGCTGCTCCCCCGTAGATGATAGTGTGATAATATGTAGGCTACATTTTGACCTGACCTGTTAGTAATATTCATGCAAAATTTGAAGTTAATCCATGCAGTACTTTTGGAGATCATCCCCGATACACATACAGACAAACAGACAAAAATTTTAAAAACCATATTTTTGGTTTCGGTATCGACTGTACATCACGCCTAAAGTATTCTTTTTAAAAAACATTCAATGTACAGTTTTACTTTTCTACGATTTTATTATATGTATATAATGTATATAGATAATAAATAGATAAAATAATTGTTTATTTTTTTAGTCGACTAAATCTGTCTTATGACTAAATCATTTGCGTTCATATTGTAATAGTTTCAACCTGACTAATAATATGTTACGACCTCAAACAAATTGTTTTAATAATGTAATGTAGCCGAGGTTACCGTAGTTAGGTTCGCGGTGATCAATCAGTACCGCATCGAGTGCGCGGCCCGATACGTCGGGTTTGTAATTTAGATATTTGCCCAGCCACCTCACAACGATGCCAGGGTACCCCGCATACATCCAAATGATATATCACTTCCCCTATATAAAGTTGCGACTTTCATCTCGGATGTGAACGAATAAAACAATACCCTATTATAAACTTCGTCCATCTCAAAACACTATTTTCTGTACAGTTTAGCTCCAATAGTTGGAAGTAAATGAAAGTTTCACAACAGAGCGACATTAAATTCGACATCTCTCCCAAGTCGAATGTCCCCCTTAGCAATCATTTTTCAAATCATATTTCTGATCTTTTCCTTCTGTATGCAATATTTCAATTGAGGAACACGATTCGTATCGTCGAACAGCGAATCTGAGACAGATGATAAATAGCCCGTACTATACGCAAGTGCAATTTAAGCAAATTCAATCTAATCTATTTGAACGAAAGTCTATTTTTATTTGGACATTATCTAATGGGCACTAGCTTTAATTCAAAGCAACGTTCTTCCCGTGTTTAAAAAGAAAAATTGTTATGCGTAAAACGTTCCCATTTCACGGTAAATAAAAGAGGATAAAGTTAGGTATAAAGATTAAGGCTTTTAAAAATAATGGTTGAGATGACGATAAAAAAAATAAAAATAAAAAGGTTGAATGTTTTTATTTGTTTACGTTTAAGATGTTAATCTTAAAATATACTTTGAGCTTAACAAAGTAAAACATCGTTACTTTAGACTTCATTATTTTTAGTGGCTTTGATCCGTGATTCGCTCGCTTACTCCATACCTATAAAACGTAGTTTAATATCAGACATTGTACAAAGCTATAAACTTTTATATGAAACTGCATTTGCAAATGGATATTTTTTCCAATACAGTCTGACAATTTGAGAGACTAACGCATCCAAACTGTTGGCAGTTGTATTGAACTGAACCCTTCATTCAGCTTTACTATAGATATTGTTTAAATAACCTTTAACTAAAGTTGATTGACAGTTAATATAAATACTTTATCAAGAGTTTAAATTGTGTCGGACGGACGGACGTGCATTTCAATCTTCAGTCGCTTCAACCTCCATTAATTTTAGACAGCCAGCTATGATCATGCATTCATAAACACTATTAATTAATATTAACAAGTTTACCGTGTGTCAATATGAGTTCCTCAGAGGATTCTTAATAGAATAATAGATAAAGGCGTTAATGAAAGGCAGTAAGCAATCACATTGAGGTTGAAGACTTCGTCAAGAGGAGGCCAAGGGGCTAACGCAATCATGGACCTGCTATTGCCGCAATTTCCGAGGAAATCACATAAAGAAACCATTTGACCGTTCCATTCTCGCTTATCATTACTATTGTCTATTTGTTTTTATTGTTTTAGTGTCGTACCTGACTCTTATATAAATTTTGTACTTAATCCTATTTGTTAGAAACAAAATGCGAGTGATGTAATACGGAAATCTCTTCAAGTTCGTCTTATTACTGTAAGTAATTAGTTTTGTTGCTTGTAATATTTTAGATTGACTGCCACGTTAATAGTTAGTCGATTAGATATTGATTTATCTTCGACTACTTCTTATTAGCATTACCATTTTATATAATTAATTTCCATATCATCATTATCATCATCATCAACAGCCGGAAGACGTCCACTGCTGGACAAAGGCGTCCCCTTTAGTTTAATTTCCATATATACATACATAAAACTAACTTTTACTCTGAACTCTACGTGTTACAAAAATACCGCATCATCTACTTACTCAGAATTCGTAATCCGTACTTGTATTGACAACTAACAACGTAGGGCGCCGCATTTTCCTACGCACATATTGAAACGTATTCATCTACTCAAATATAATAGAAAGGGTGACGGTAAGGGATACAGCCTATAGAATATTTCTGATAACGATCGTCATCACGTTTGCACGTTTTTTTGCAAAGTGAGGTCTACTACACCATCAACGTAACTACACTCAGTCCGCGTGTACAGTTAGCACAACCATTTAGTATGCAAGTAATACAATAAAGATTGATTCAGTACTGAGACAGTAACTTGGTTGGCTACTGAACCGACCAATGGTTACAGAAGATGTGACTTGGTTAAAAATAATGTAATTTTAGTATAATAATAGCTACTGTCTCTGTATTAAGTCCACAATAATATTAAAAATGGATTATAGGTATCTATGACAATGTCGATCTTTA